AATACAAAGATCATAGCCTGCTCTCATGTTTGTATTTCTTGATGGTCTTTTTACCAGTTGCACAGTGAAATCAGAAAATCTTCACAGTATACAAAAAGCAGTTACCACTATTGAAAAAAGAAATAAGATTGTTTTAATCAATTAAATACAGTTTTGACATTAGTGATGTTCATCATTCATTGGCATTCGTTAGCTAACCCAGTTGGTTTGCGTTGTAAATTAATTTAATTTTCCATGGATTGTCTATAAATGTGTAACAGGTTATATTATTCATATGCAAATGTTCTTTGATTAGATCCATCTTCACTTGCTAATGCCCTAAAATACTTTGTTTTTTTTTTTTTTCTGCAAGTTTATGGACTAGGATGTCAGCCCTTCTGCATTTTAAGTAGTTTATGTCTGCTCCTACAAAATCCTTTATTTTTCTCTCATTAAAAATTTTGATCTCGGCACTTCCTGTGACTAAGAAATTTGTTTCCATATATATCAGAGTTCATCATCTATTTGACCAAAAAATGCTGTTTTCGTGGATTTTTGGAATTAATTGGGACACTCAAGATCATTTTCTACTAGGTGAAAAATGAGGTTCTTTAAAACTGAGATGAAAATAAGAACTTCTGAATTCTGGCAAGAGAGCTTTTTCGCATACTTACACATTGCTCCCAGGCCTCTCATTAGTGGGCTGTCAGTTTTTTACGCAGAAGGTAGCTTACTGCTCCCTCCTCCCAAACTGTGGGAATTCTGTTTAAAACTGTAGCTCTATTTTTATTTCTATAGCTAGTGATTAAAGATAAACTTTCATGGTAAGGAGTACAGATGACTTACAAGCTAATTGCCATCAGTTGTTAAAAGCCTTTTAATTTTCTACTGCCTTCAGGACCGAGTCTTTAAAAGGTAATCTGAAGAATGCAAATGCTGATGAGTATATTTCTTTACATAAGGATGTTCTTGCATACTGTATCATCTAAGACTAAGCCCCATGCTTAGATGCTAGTGATCAAGCTAGTGATTTGAGGACTGGACAAATCAGTTATGACAATCAATGTCTACTGCCATCTCACCCTGCATCTTAATCCAGTAGGGTGGTTCATCTTGGATCTTGTGGCAACGTGCTGCAGACAGGCAAGTATTGCAGCTGATCCACTTCAAAAGGACATGCATGCTTTTACGTAATAGACCACCAGAAGGCATAAAGACAAAGATTATAAGTCTTCTGATCTCATGAGGAACTCATCCTGATTTACACCCATGTAACAGAGCAAAATCAGACTCTGAATGTCTTAGGAGACGTTATCCAATTAGAGAAAAGGTCGAGTTTGCACTTTTACTGTCTGTAATCGTATTTCTCTTCCTCAGTTACTGTTGGTCAGACCTATGCGTGAAATGCAAATTCATGTGCGGAGGAGTGGGAGATAATGTCATCTCTTAGAGCAAATTTGAGCAGGAGTAGAAAGCCTCCTTGGAGAATATTTTCAGAGCAAAAAATGTCCATTACTCACCCCTGTTGCTTTCTCAGCTGCCTTTCTCCTCTCTACTTCCATCTCCTAAACTTCTTCCCTTATATGTATAACTGTAAAAAAGGATAAGCTTAGACTATCGGTAATGCCCTCCTATCGACTAAAGACAACATTCAGTCAGAGTTAATCCATGATTCTGAAGGAAGAGAAAGCAAGAAATGGAGTATCTTCTTGTCTGAGAGATGGACATAACTATGCAGTAATAACAAAGCATAATTTATGTACATTTTTGGATGTACTATATTAAAGAGACAATTAACAAAACTGCGATGGTTTATCTGGTGAAGGCACAAGGAGAACATTTTACGTGTAATTAGCTCTCAAAGCCCTCTTTTATAGAGAAACAGGTAGAACAATTTTCGTCTTCCTGAAGACCTTTTCAGTTCAAGCTCAGCCTGTCTTCACAGGGAAAGAAACTGTAGAGTACTGCTGTAGATGCACAAAGTAGTACTACTTTTAAATTGCTTAACATTGTTTATGCTAGTACAGCCGGAAGAGACTTGTAAAGACTTTAAAGGAAATTTATTAGCCTAAGCGCCTGGGGAGAATATTGGCAAATGAAACTAGCAATTCCATGCGGTGTGACTTGGACCCATATGCTCTGTTACTGATATCCAGTACTGACACACAAATCAAAAAGTTACTTCTGCTGTTGTGTGGCTTACTAAAACTGTGCCATAACGTGTTTGAGGAATTTCAATCCTTTTTAAAAGAATATATCACTTCAGATATTTGAAGGGAAGTTTTGTAGTTTGAAGGGATTTAAGCCACACTCTGACTTCCAGAGACCAGGATGAGACCCATGGGGAGAGATGAATTATCCACAATTTTCTGCAGCCCTGTTCCATCTTTGACCAAGGCATCTGGTAGTGGGCACTGTCAAAAATAGGGTAATGCCCTCTCCTCAACTGAGCAGTTTGTATCAGTTCTTGTCTCTTCAGACTGCCCTGGCCAGATACAGATGCCCTGCTCTCAACTAGGTCTGTACAGCTCCATGATCATGATGGTGTCATGCGAGGTAGGAATAAATCACCATGACTGGGTAGAAATCAGAGTATTACAGAGCCATGAGGCGGTACTGTTGGTCTACACCGAGGCACCAGGATGATGCAGGACCCATTCTGGACTGGATCATGCTTGATAAATCCCTTGTTGCATTTCACAAGCTGCCAGCTGTACCTGGGGCTCATGTCCTCTTCAAGGATGCCAGGATAAAATGTCTTTTACAGTACTCAAAGGGCATTGAAGCTCTTGACTAAGTGACTGAGCTGGCTTTTCTGGTGGGGCAAAGGGGAAAAGATTGTCCCATGGGATTAAAAACTGCAACTATTTTGGAAGTAAAACCAGGTAGATGGGAGACATCTGACCATAACAAATAGGTGGTGCTCTCCCTGTTAGCCATAGGTGTTGATATTTGTCTCTACCAGTTTCTTCTGATGACTGTTGCCAGGCCTTTTGATAGAAAAATATCCTAGAAGGAAAAGGAGAGTTCAAGGCAGACCACAGGAGAGCTGACAAGGTTTTCACTACTTAACAAATTGGCGTAGAAGCATTGAGAGAAAATTCTTGTTGTGCATGTAGCGTTAGGTGATCTGATGTGCATCTTTGAAAAGCTAATGTGTATTTTGGGGCCTACTAGATGGAAAACTCTGTCTGAATCTGTCTTTTTTTTAAGTCAGTTTTCCAGTTGAATGTATGACAGAATAAAATCCTCCAGTATCCTAGGTAATCTGTTCTCTGCAGCATTGTTGGAAGCAAGGATGCATCTGTTGAGATACTAGTTTAACTGACCTAAGATGTGAAGATGGCCATTAGTATACCCTTTCAAATGGGAGAAGTTTCTTCAACTTCACCAAATGGTGCGGGGAGCCTAAAATTGCCACTCTGATTATATAAGAACTCTTATATGGCAATGACTGTACTACAGAACATTTTGAACGAGTGCTTCAGCTTCTGGTAAATTTGTTTTCTGCAACTACTTCTGCAGTAATCATGTGTCAGAGAAAAACTGACATTACTGTTCTGCCTTTCTGTCGTAGCATGCTAAATTTTGCGAGCTTTCTCAGAGGGTCATACCCTGCATGGTTAAGGGCACTTTTCAGAACAACATGTTGATCTTTATGATACTTGTTATGATTTATGATACTTGTGATTCTGAAGGCAATTTCATATCTAACACACATACTTCTTTTGTATTAATTACTAACACAAAATGCCACTCTGAATTTTTCTCTTCCTCTCAGGCTGGGGTGCATTGGTATGATCAGGAAAACATAGCAACTTTGCCTTACTACAGAATTTCAGAGGAGTAAATCTCTTTATTTATTCTCCCTCTACTTACCATCAGGTAAGTGAAAATATCCTAATGCTGTTTCCTGACAGAGGAATAGAGCCGGTATCATATACTAGAATATATTTTCATATATATATATATGTGTGTGTGTGTGTGTGTATTTTTACCAATCCAGTACCCCCAGTGACTGATGATTTCACTTAGAAATATAAATGGTTGCAATCTTAGCTGATATTTCAAAATATTCCACAGCACTTCTGAAACGTCAGGGTGGGAAGTGCAGAAGCTGCCATTTTAGCTGTGGAAAATGTTCAGTATAAAACTACAAAGTTACATAAGTGCCTTTAAGGAACATTATTTGTACAAAAATGCCCTTAAGAGGGCGCTTACTCACCACTGCATTTGTTTGGAACATCATCTGTTAAAATAATGAGATTTAAAAATAATTTTATGCTGCACCAGTGTAACGTTTGACTGAAATGTGTTTGGGCCAGTCATGGTTACCAACATTTATGGATACAAACTATGTGACAATATTGCATTAGGTAGGCTTAATCTATATAATCACTCTGTTAATTTATAGGAGTGCAATTTCCATCTAAAACAGCAGATGCAAAGCAGTTCAACACCTCTTTAAAGAAATGCCTTTGCTTTTTTATGACAGTCATCAGCAGTAATAAAGTAACTTCCATGTTTCATCCTCTGCAATCGTCTTCCTTTGTGAATAAAGGATCATGTATCTAGAGGTGCACTAGAAGACTGGAGGAGGCAGAACACTGCTGGTAACAAAATCAGGCTATCAAATACCTTTTTTATCTTTTAAGCCAGCCACTGAGGAATTATGTCCTATTTTCTTCTCTCTTAGAGTGAATCTTTCTCATAAGCAGTTCTCCTGCCATAAAGCGCTTCCTTCTAGTGATCATGGCAGATGGACATGCCAGTGGCGTCTTTTGATCATCTTCTGCCATGCTTCCTCTCTCCTCTTTTTTCAGTTCAGCTAAATTAGCTCAGGTATCTTTTAATCCATCTTGATGCTGTTCCCATAAGGGACAGCTGCCAGCATATCCTGGGGAAATTTTGCTCGGCATAGAGCAGTCTGCTGCCTCTTGGCAATGCTGACCACTTTCACATCATCTCTTGCCCCCCTATGGAGCATGAAGCAGTACTGCACAGATGGGACATGTGGCAAATCTCCCTACACTGGTTTACTTATGTATGAATCTGGCTTCAAATTCAGAGACCCTTCTCGAAATCTTTGCAGTTTCTGTAGCTGTCTGTTGAGAATGTGTAACCTGGACACCCAAGAGGAGGTAAGTTACAGAATATGAATGTCTTGCTTTTAGAAAGGCAGGGCTGGCTGTATGTATTAACGCAAAAGTATAGGAAATTAATCTGTTTAGCTGTATCACTTCTAAATTAATGCTTAGTTCACAAATAAAATAATATTTGCCTATAGATCTCTGTTAGTCTAGACCTAGATCTTGGTGTCACAGTTAGATGCTTCATGCCACTTAGAACACTGGAAAATGAAAGTGGTTGATGTAAACTTGGCTTCAGTATATGCCATATAACACTAGCTGTAATCGCAATGTAATATGTAATATTTCTATTACATCAATGAACATGAAGTTTACTTATGGCATTGTCTGTCTGCTTGGTATGCCAAGTAAAATGATTTTTTTCCCTTCAGGTTTGACATTTTTATGTGGACTTGAAGGAGTTATGGACCATTTCCTTACATTGTTTATTAGAGCCAACTAAACTGTGTTAGCATGACTGAGCTCCTCCATGCCAGCTGAATACCTGACCCTCTGTTTTAATTTTAAATCCTTCATTTTCCATCTATAGTTAATTCCTTGTATATGAATCAGAGGGAGTCAAAACATGTCTCAGAGGCCTATGCCTAAACATTAAGACTGTGTATAGGCCGCTGACTGAATAAGCAGATAATCATCTTGCAGATTTAATTCTGCAGCAACATGGGCTCGTATGGTGATAGATATCCAGCCTTAACATTGTGAATTCATAAAGGCATCACTGGTTAACATTTGGAACCTACTGGATGCGTGCATTCTTATAAGTTTTGTGGTCATGCAGTTGTACAAGTAGTGAAGGCAATGCTCTCTACATTTCTGAGGCAGCAATGGAAGCTGGTTTTTAATACTTCTTCAGAAAGGAAATTCTGTCTGTACATTTGCTTCTCCATCGTAGATGTCAGATTTATTCCTGTATGGGAGGTATCTGGTTCCAAGGCTTTTTAATAGCTTTCCATTTCTTGCTAGCCTTTGTTTAATGTTTATCAAGACAGAGACTAGTAATATTGAGGCACATATCTCTAGGATAACATTTAATTTTCTTATCATTAGATAGGATATAGATTTTTATATTGTAATAATGATAGGATGATATTCTTTTTGGACATAATGAAATATTGTTTTGCCTCTATATGACTGGGTAAAACAGTCTTATGAAATAAGCACTACTTCTCATGCCTGAGGTTAATTGATGAATACATTTAATTGCTTTTCCATAGACCTGTAGGATCACTGTTAGCTTACTGAATACTTGCATAGCAAAGCTGACAAGTTCCTTAATAAAAAAAAAATTGTTTTTGAAATTATATCTGATTCACTATATAAAACCTACTTTATTATATCTCTTCTGCCTTAGTAAAGGGAGACTCTTAGTTAGGGTTTTATACTTTGGCTTTTATTTTTTATTTTAGAAGAATTGATTCTAGAGTTTCAGCAAAAAGTGACTTCTACATCCCTTTTCTTTGTGTTTTGTTGCTGATGAGAACTTGGGTCTTCAAGCATTCTGGGTATGTGTCCTCAGTCCTTAAAGGTGGCACTGAGTGACTAATAGTGTAAGAGGTACTTGATAAACAACAGTGGCAAAGCTGCTTTCTCCCTGCTACTAGGAAAAGGAGTAAATTTGGGAAACTACAGGTTTTCTTAGTACACTGAGCTAACACTGCATATTTAGTATCTGGGAAATTCCTTCACTGACTAAGTGACTGTGCTAATGTCCTAGGTAAACATTTAGAGCTATCGCCTTTGCGCCATGGCAGGCATGCAAAAAGTAACGGACGAGCTGGTTTTGTGGGGACGCTTGCTCTGAGACCTTCCTCTCGGTTGTGTAGCATTTTTTGCTAAGTTTTAACTGGTCCTGTTGAAATTTCCCATGCTTTCAGTGGAGTTTTAGGGGGAATGTTTCAGCCAGAAAGATGCTATTGTTTCCAAGTGTAATCCCTTCTAAAGGGAGAAGAGCTGGCTGTGGCACAAAATCTCATGGTCAGTATGAAATGGTCTGGGCAGAGATGCTCCTGAAGGGAGCTGCCTTAACTACCAATAGGAAGCGTAAACTCAGCCATAACTCTAACTACTGCTGGACTTAACTGCTATTTCTACCCATTTTAGTGATATTTGTTGTTAAAAGGCAAAACTGACACCTTCTCAGGCAGACTGACTTAAACCACTATCTGAACTCGACCTTCTAGATTCCATGTTGTGTCTCTTGCATGAGAGCTACTTCGCTTTTACAAGAGGTTATTAGCAAAACTATGGAATAATATGCATTTCAGCTTATGCAGATTTTGCCTTTGAAGACTGTTTTTGGTGAAGAGTTCAGTAATACCTAAAAAATAAATAATGTAAAGATGCTAATAATGGAGTTGTTCAGACTGATTATAGCTTCATTAAGCAGGATTGCTCACTGCAATCTCTGAACTACAAATTAGGTTTTGATAATTTGACCTATTGTCTATTTTAATTTAGTGAGTTAGAAAAATAAATTACTAGAGCTGAACCCTTACAAAAGAAAAATATTTTTCTTGCATTTCATAAAATATTTATTTAAAATGATAAAAGTTACCCTCATTTCACTGGTTTATTCATGGTAGGCAAACTCATCTAAAATATTTTTAGGAGGAATATTTTTAAATTAAAAGCTTGAAGATACCTTTTTATTTCTTTTTTTTTTTTTTTTTTTAACAAAGTACATAACAATTAATGATTCCTCTGCAGGGACTCTCTGTGCTTTATAGAGTTCTGTTTGCACACAAAATCAGATATGTCAGATCTCCTATTCTCCTCAGTAAATACAGAAGTGGAATTTGCCAGCATATGTGATGAATTAGCTTCAAAATAAATGAAGGCCTTTTTCTTTAAACATATGCCAAAGCTTGACTAACACGTTCCCAGTTTCTAAAACTTTGTGGTCTGCAAAATGATACAAAAATTTGAGGAAAAACTGGTATTAGTTGAACAGCGCAAAATCAAGCGTAACCGCTACGCTTCTACTAAAATGGATGGAGTGAAGGTTGCGTCCATCTTCATGAGATTCTGTGCTCAGGTGGTGTAAATGAATGAGTTATAAGTGTTGTACCTTGGTATCATGGTAATTGGACTAGCACTCTACCGGACTCAGCTTTAGAGAATATATATGTTTTATTACAAGTGATGGAGTTGATTTTGAAAGTGCCTCTGAGAAAACTCTACTAAGGGTGGTGGGTTTTTTAGGGGGCAATCCAAATGTTAATTGCTCATGTGTAGTTCAGCTGTTTAAGGACTTTGTCTGAATAGAGTATTTTGACATGAATCTGAAAGGTTTATTGTAATCATCTTTAGAATGAATTAAAACATGTTGATTGATATGCTTATGACTATTAACTCTGATGAGGAGTGCTTACAATGATCTTGATTCATGGCTTGATTCATGGCAGACTATTGTAGAACTTAGACCTTAATATGATTCTCTCAAGCTGGAGTCCTGATTGTAGGCTACCTTGTATCTCACGCTGGCCAGCATCCCTTCCCTCTCCTAATTCATCCGTAAATAAGGAAATCTTTTGGACTGGCAGACAGTTTTCACAGGATTCTTTTCCTTCCAAATAAGAGACACATTTCTTGATACTTAAACGTGAGGTAGAGTCCTAGTCTGTTACTGGATAGACAAAAGTATCTATCTTCAATTACGCAATTGACTATATTCACGTGAAATTTGAGAGCTACAGGAAGAAAAGATGGCACAAAGTAGAAATAGGATTCGGAACTTCAATGTTCCATTCCCTCCATTCCCCCACCCTCCCAACCCCCCCTTTAAATACTTGGCCATAAATCATTTCCAGAACTTTAATTTATTTTTGCTGCATTTCATTAAACTTGTTTAAGCATAGCTGTCTGGTGTAAATTGTTTTTCCAGAGAATAGCCAGAGAAGCCATCCCGTCTCAGTGAGAGTAGATCCCCAGTGTCAGTCAAATGTTTCTACTCTGAACCAGTCTTCATTTACAGTATTCTGTTTCCCCCGCGTATCAGCACTCAGCATGTCACCCTGTGTATCAAACTGCTGACTTAATAGAAAAACTGTAGTAAAAAATACTAGCACAAAGGTGATAAACACCTCCACTTCCACCTCCAAGCAAATTACCCTTAGCACTAATCACTTAGGCTTTGTGAGAAACAGCACACTGAAATGTTCCTGAAATAATCTTACTCTGCCTTCAGCTTTTTAAAAATAGCCCCCAAAACATGCATAAACATCAGATGCTGTGAAACAGATTTCCCCTGCTAACTGTTTGTAGTTCTAATTAACACATTGATTTACACCGTTAAGGCATTTGAATGCCTGCTAGTATTGTGTGTATTGTGTGTTGTTCTTAAATACGTGTGTCTTCAGATATATTGATAACCTTTTTTCTGTTACTGTCAACATTCCTTCATTTTCATCTGCTGTGGTAGAAGTGGAATTTTTCATTATTATTACTCTTAGACTTGTTACAACAGACTGAAACTTGAGACTGCAAGGCAAATGCATCATTTTTAACAATAGCTGGTGGTGTGCCTGCCTAGGAACACCCGGATGGAGCTGTTTCCGTCTCAGGTTCTTCAGTAGTTCTTCAGCAAGCTCATTTATCTCCTTTCAAAGATGCAATCCACTGAACATGTGGATCAGAGCAGTGGCCTTTATCAATCCTCTTCCCTTTTGTGAAAGTATGTATTTCACAAGAGCTCAGAGAGAGGCTGTCTTGACATGTGTGTGAGCAAATGGATGGCACCCATGCACAGCACTTAATGCATGAAAGGCTTGTGTCTCCCTGCCTTGGGTTTGTCAATGGCGGTCAGGCAAAGCTGGTCTTCTGTGTTACATCAGTGGCAGTAACTCATTTCGGGCCACAGCCATGGTATACTTCCGTTTTTTTTCTTGTAAAGAATATCTGAGCCAGAAGCACAGTATTAAGAGTAATGGAGTCAGCAGTATCTCCAAGACTGGTAGTCTGTCACCACAGTTATATTTATGATTCCTTTTATT